TCCCGAGATCCACACATTAAGGTCTTCTATTACCTTTTGTCAAAGCTATGCCCTTTTGTTTGTTTTTTACGTCAATAATTCCTGTGTCTTCCAGTCGAATTATTATTATAGCTCATTAGTGAGTCATTGGTGACATATATGTAGCTTGAAATACACTTTTGAAGTTTGTCATGCTCAAAAATATCAACTAACCTTTGACCTGTATTGTCATCAAATCTTTTAATTATCTTCTCTTTTCAAGGAACGCTTGTAATTGTAAGAATCACGAGTCCACAATAACCATCTAGGTTTTTTGTTTAGGGCCTAGGTTTTTATCTGGGATGATTGGGGGGGGGGGGGGGGGGGTTGGGGGGGGGTGAGGTAAAATTTGTTTCCCTTTATATTTGATGGATTTTTAGTTTAGCACCGATGTCAAATAAATGCAGTTAAAAACTTTATTTTAAATCATAAAGAATTCTTCTGATTATATAATTATTGCAAATTATGTATTTCTTTTACCTAAGTAGTTAGGCTACATATGTTTGACATTGACCTTTCATTCCTGCACTTTGCAGATAAGGCACCCTACAGACACAACAAATTTCGACTCCTACCCACGTGATATGGACATAGCAGCAGATGAATTGTCAGGATGGGATGCAGACTTCTGAGAAGTGAAACACTTGAACTACATTTGATTGCAATGACTCAGAAGCAGAGAGGAGAAAGACCATGTCTCTATAGATAGTGTCTACCAGCCAACTTGATGTTGACCTATTTCGAAATGGTTGAACTTAACTCCTTGAACCTCTATTGTTCTATAACTATGTAAACAATGTTTTATTTGTAATAAATATTTCGATGATATTCCTTATAAAATATTCTTTCAAAGTATTTATCAATCATTGAAACAAAATCTTGAGTTGGTGTGCATGTGTAGCTTTTGTGTGTATGTGCGTGCTGTTTCTTAAATCCATTGGCTAAATTAATAGAAGTGAACGAAGTGTGGAGCATTGCTAAGTATGTGAAGAATTATTTTTCTTAATATTTTTACTGTGCATAAAAAAAAATAATTGTAGGGGTGTGGTGGCCAAGTGGTAAAGTGCTTGGCTTCTGTACCAGAGGGCTTGAGTTTGAATCCAGGTGAAGACTGGGATCTTGAGTCAAGATTTTTAGTATGCCTCTGAAATCACCCAACTCAGATGGGTACCTAACATACTTTGGGGAATTTAAGGGTCTTTGTGCTGGCCACGTTAACTATCGACCATAAAACAGATGAGTTTTACTTCATCTTTCCCATACATCACAAGGTCTGAAAAGGGTACGTAGCTTTACTTTATTATTATAAGAGTGGATTCATCTGTTGCTTGTAATACCTGGATTCATCTGTTGCTTGTAATACCTGGATTCTTCTGTTGCTTGTAATACCTGGATTCAGCTGTTGCTTGTAATACCTGGATTCAGCTGTTGCTTGTAATACCTGGATTCAGCTGTTGCTTGTAATACCTGGATTCAGCTGTTGCTTGTAATACCTGGATTCAGCTGTTGCTATATTGTTATGATCCTTCAAGGAATTCAATACATTGCTACAGACTATCTTTGATAAGGAGATGGTATAGCTATCTGAATATATTTATTATTTGATCTTTGGGTGTCCAATTAAATATTAATTGTCCATATGTAAATAAAGGTTTATCATAAAATATACATAAAAAATAACCTGCTAATTTAGTTAATGTCCTCTAATTTCATTGTGTATGAATTGTGCATAATTCCTACAATTTGTTGAAAATTGAAGTGACAAACTCTAGTTAGCCTATTTTTTTGGTTTCCAAGATTTAGTATGCAATAGAAAGTACACTTCGCAGATTGTACAGAAATCCAGTTGAAAGATTTTGATCCATTTGGTTACAGGCACTAATCTAGTGATTGCCTCTGCCCACCCTTAAGTCGAAAGGACCCTTTAAAAAAAATATAAAATGATTAACTTTTTTTTCCTTAAAAACTTAACACAGCACTTTGCTTCTGGAAGCCATGTACAAAAGAAAAAATTTTTTGCACCAATGTAACTATGGCATCCATTGGTCACAATATGACAGCCTTATGCTGATTTTAACAAAACCTTAACTATTTGCCTGAGTTTGAAAACTTTGTTTTGCCAGCTTTCTTTCTGTTTCACTTTCATTTCGTTGCACTGAGCAGTCCCCATGTCAGGATTTCAGCCCTTGGTTGTTGTTCTTTCTCATGCAACTTCTATTTACATTGATCTGAACAGGAACTCAGGTCTGGCTACTAATTGATAACCCAATAGTTAACTGTGATACATGACTGTTGTAACTTATGCCCATGTATATATCATAGATTTCTTCTTTGGTTCATGATTTGTTATTGTTCATTTGTTATTCTTTATTACACCATTGATGTAAGTGTGTTATAATTTTTTATACTTAACGTAGCAAAAAACAACAACAACCTGTATATAGGGTATGTTTGGAGATTATTATTAGTGTATCAATATGAGGAGTCTGTCTGAACATTTGTTGTATATGAAGAGTGGATCTAAAGTGATGAGATTAATGCTGAGTCTGGAAGGTAACAAAATACAAAGTGTTTGCCCTAGTTATAAAAATTTTTAACAACAAAAACAAACAAAAAATCAGACATTTCTTTTCATTATAGAAAATTGATGTGTATGTTTCAATTTATAGGGACCCACAAAAATTCATTTTAATTAAATTAAGTAATTGAGTTTAAAATAATTTATCATTTAGTGTTTTTTTTTAATAGCCATGAAAAGATTTTTTTTTTCAGTCTCCCGTCTGATGTATTCTTTCGATAGGCTCTCACTTTGCTTGTGTGCAGTGTCATATTTAAACTTTGAAAAACTGAAACTGTAGTGGATAAGTTAAAATGTGAATAGAGAAAATTATTAGAAATTCATTAGTCAAACTGAACAAAGTTTACATTTTAGCTTTCTGTTGATACAAGCTCTACTATGGCTACATTTCAGGCTTACCATACTTTGGGGGTTCTAGGGTAGCTAACTGTATTTTTTTTTTTTTATTCTGACCTAGCATTGGTTTTTCTAGTCTGGTACTCGATGTAAGTCTTAAGTCACCATTAAAGAAATGCTGTGTGATTGGAAACTGGGTTATTAAGCTACCATTAAAACAACAACAGAATATTTTTTTATTTATACATTTTGCTTATTTCAAAGATTCTATCCATGGCTGGCCTTAGGCCAATTCGACTTATTGCTCCAAATTGGGTGGCAGGGGCCTTGTAATTTATATTTAGCATATCAGTATCAGTAGTATCAGTCATGGCTCGTTATAGGCTTTTTAAGTAAATTAAAGATATAGGACTTAACATATTTAGTGTATCGTACAATTGGCAATTTTAATTAAGCCGCTGCCACCTATTGCATTTCAGTTGTTTCTGATGCATGCTGTATAATAAATATTGATAAAATGATCTAAATAATAGTAATTATTGTAAAAAAAATTAGAAGATAGGCCACACAAGGATCCATTTAATGGGGCCCCCCAATTTGTAAGGCCAGCCTTAATTCTAACATTCTTAAAGCCAACTGCCTATTATGTCCTACATTTCTTGAGTGAACACATAGGTTGAAAACTAATCAATGGCATATCCAGTGGGTAATGCTAGTTACAAAGAGTTAAAAATAGTTTGCATTTTAAAAATGATACTTGTCTCCGGGAGACCACAAACTGATAGTTGAAGTGGAAAACTTTGTACCAAAAAAAATGACTTTGAGCTCAATTATTTTGAGGTTTTAAAGTTGAAATCTTTCTTCTAAGACTCATTTCTCTCCTTTCCACTCAACATTTTTTTGACTTAAGATTGCAGAGTGAGATTTGACAGACAGAAATTGACACTACAATGTGTGTGTATGTGTCATGTTACTCTAGACTGCACAACTATGTCAAGATTACTTTCTCTATTCAATTAAAAACATTGTTTTTGAGTTTTGTCCAGTTCAGCATTAAATATCAATGACATGTCCTGATGTGTATTGTTCTTAACTGATATTTCTAAGTCTATTTTATGTATACACATAAACATTTGATTTGATATCTGGCACAATTTTGGCCATGTTTTTCAAAGATTCTTTTCCTCTACTCGGTTTTAAATACAAACTGGACATTAAAATCTTACAAGTTACAATTTAAGTATTAAAATCAGTTTACAATTCAAATAATTTTTTTTTTAAATGTTTACTTTGATCTGAAAGAGTGTAGCTACCATAAGGATGTAATGCACACTCAGTTTTAGAGATTTTGACTAAACTACAAGATGTCTAAAAGGGATATCCATTGGAGTACTTTGACACTTGTTTTTAAAACAAAACTTGCAATGAAAAGATAATGAAAACACAAATAGTTCTTTGTAGCTGATAGCACTGTCCAAAAATGTGTGTGTTGTCCTGATATACAGATGTAGACATTCTCCTTTCAATTACAACAGTTGTTTGCAAGTCACAAAGTCGCTTTCTAAGTCAAAGCATAGATGCAGCACTGGATTACCGTACCTAATAAAAGTCTTATGATTTCAAATGACTTTGCCAATGTTTTTATGGCCTTCTCAGCCACAAAGTGAGTCTGGACCTTAACAAATAATAAAGCCTGGCATTGGCTATGGTTAGAACACTGATCCACATCAGTTCTCTCCATCTCAGTTCAGCTGTTGGATGTCAGGTGCAACTACAGTTTGGGATGAACTGACCGGCAGGTTCTGCCAATGTTTACCACTTTAAATATACACTAAGTCTGGTCAATATGTAATAGGAAAGTATAAGTTGCATTCAAAAATTGGAGAATTTCTTTAAAAAATTATGTTCACATATTAGTGTCTTAAATCTTGTTTAAATCTAAAATGGAAGTTTTTGTGTAGTTCAATATCTTGAAAGTAACTTGTTTTGTTAATAGAAGATAAATAACAGATACAAAAAGTATTTCTGGATAAACATTTCAAACTATGAACAAACCAAAAACAAAATGTTCAGTGACCATGTTTATTATGGAGTCAGATCTAGACCTTTCCATTCAATTTAATGCTTCATTATCCAAACAAAAAATGACTCACTTTTTATAAAAGACTAAAAGCATCTATAAAGTGGCAAATATTCTATAGAGCTGTCTGGCCAAAATGTATTGCACTAGTAAATTGTAAACAGCACTATACAAATAGAATCACACAACTGCTGTGACAAAAACATAAGGACCCAACACATATACATAGAGTTCAAAGTAGAGTAGTGAAAGAAAAAAATGTATACTATTGCAATTATTGGAGAATAGAGGCAGAAAAGTAACAGCTCTATGCCATGGAACTTGTTGGCAACAGCATGGTTTGGTTGTTAGAATAAAAAGTACAAAATGTAAATAAATTTTATGTTTAAAAAACAAATCAAGCAGTTTTTTTTAAACTGGTTTCTGTCTTAACATCAAAGCCAAAAAAATCCATGACAGTCCAGGCCTCTCAACACCACTGACCTATGTTCACATAGCTGAGCTCAACTGGTCTAAAGAAATGTCTTGTGACATTTGTATGGATTAGCTCAGACATGGGAACATTTCACATCAAGCATCCCATCCCTGCAGGCACAGCTCTCAAACTTTAGAGAATACATTACATTGTGTAGACCCTGTCAGTTTCACCTCTGTCCCTAAACAGCAAAAAATACATCGAACACAATGTAAAAAGTAACTGCCATATGGGAGACCACTAAAAATATACAAGTAACAAGTTGCAGGGTTGAGATATATACCACACTGCAAAATACTTCATTCAGGTTCAACAAGTCAAGTGTTGTTACATGTTGAGTGTTTCAACTCTGTCCCTAGACATACTCTTGGCAACAGTACAGGAAGGTCACAGTTGAAACATACAATATCAAAACATAGCATAGGATGTTCTTTTGGGAAGGCAAGGGCTGTCTTGTTTGCATTGGCTTTGACAGAGTCATTTCTAAAAGAGTAAACTCAGTTAACAGCTTTTGTTGTTCATGGATGATATACTGTATATATAAAAAAAAATCCACTGGGCTTGACAACAAAACATATAAAATACTTTCATCAAGTATAGGAATGATCAACTTGTGTTCTCAACACAAACTATGCACAAAGGTCAACAAAAAGTTCACAACTTAAACCCAACTCTACATTAACTGTAAGCCAAAAAAAAAATCTTAAAAAGTACAACTGCTAAAGATGGCATAGATGTCAGATCACAGCAAATGTGTTATTCTAATTGATGTGGTGGAGTTCTCTTCCTGACTAATACCCGGTACCTCATGTGTACAGGAACAACTGAGGCATAATGGTCACTGAATGGAAAAACAATGGAAAAAAAAACAATCACAAATCACAGTTAGTGTCAACTACCAAGTCACTAGTGTGTCATGTTCAAGTCATGGTTTGGTCATCTGAAGATAGAAATAAAGCAATATGACTTCATTTTACTAGCAACTCAGGACACACACAATGTTCTTACACAATTTTAAGCACAGAAAAAAAATACACATTCTCTCACTACACATTAGTTTTACCTACTTGAAAAAAAACACCATTTCATTAAGCCCTATTGTGAATAAACTTGTAAAATAAGTTGTACAGTTCTTCAAGTTCTTTTGAATGAAAGATTTTATATACCATTCCAGGTACACTGTAAAGTCAATTCATTAGCCTATACACAAAATGTAATAGTATAAAAAAATTAAACTGTATGCTACTGAAAATATAAATTTAAGTAGTAACTTCCAAAAGTACATTATCCAAGACTGAGGATAGAAACTAAAAAAAAGACATCAAAATGTATATTTGGTGGGGGGAAAAGTAAATAGAATTTAACAAGCAAACTATTAAGTCAATTTCTTTAATAAGAATACACTCAGTCAATTAACTCTACCCATAATACACTTAGTCAATTAACTCTACCCATAATACATTCTAATGAAAGGCCTAGAGAAGAAAGACAGTAAAACAATTCACAGAAAAGATATTTAAAAAGCAGTTGCAATGCCTAAGAGGCCATATTGAAATTAGCAGCAATCCGAGGCCTGCGTTTGATAGGAGAGTTAGTTGAACTGTGAGAAGAGTTGTGCTGTGAGCTGGTGGTAGAGCTGGTCTCCAATGGCAGGTTGTTAGGTGAGAACAAATCTTCCTCCTTGAGGTCATCACACAAGTATTCCTCCCCAGCTGCTACATCACAAGGCAAGCTGCCATGTGGAGAAGTTCTTGAGTCCAGCTCAGTCAGAGAGACAGTTTCACAGGAGTGTTCAGGACTCAAGTTTTGATTACTTTCAGAATCCACACTAAGCCCAATAGTTCCTCTACACACCTGCAAAAAAACAAAAATCATGAATGCCAATCAAATATAAAGCAGTTTAGTTGTCATGTATAAATACAAAGCAGTTTAGTTGTAGTCATGCATCAATTATAAAGCAGTTTAGTTGTCAAATATCAAATACAAAGCAGTTTAGTTGTCAAATATCAAATACAAAGCAGTTTAGTTGTCAAATATCAAATACAAAGCAGTTTAGTTGTCATGTATCAAATACAAAGCAGTTTAGTTGTCATGTATCAAATACAAAGCAGTTTAGTTGTCATGTATCAAATACAAAGCAGTTTAGTTGTAGTCATGTATCAAATACAAAGCAGTTTAGTTGTCATGTACCTAAGATCTATCCTTTTATTTGTAGCCATATAAAGATCTGGCAAGAAATGAATCTAAAATTAAGCAGGTATGTTCTAGTCATGTAAGAATATTCTAGCCCTTTAGTTATGTACTATGGATCAAAGATAAATCTATTTAGTTGCAGCTGTAAAAAAAGATCTAGCAAAAGTAATGTACAAAGAATCAAATATCAGGTTCTTAAGTATCAAAGAGCTAGCAATGTCATTTTTCACGGTTTACTTATATTTTTCCTCAATATCCCTGATATGGCTGGTTTACTTATATTTTTCCTCAATAATCATGATTGGGCGTCCAAAAAGTGTTTTTTAAGAGACCTGCCAAGTAACAAATCCACAAAGATGAACTGCCAAGTAATGAAGGATTACTGCCCCGAAACAATGTGAAAATTTAGCTCTTCATTTCTTAGTCTATTTAATTTCATGTTTACTGTATTCTTCTAATGGTTTTCTCCAATGGTTCAATAGAAATGTCAATGAGTGCCAGATCTAAAACCTCACCTTGTCAGCGTCAGCTCCTGCTTTCATCTGCCAGGTTTCTGGAATGTCATCAGGAGATATTAGACAAGAAGAAACCTTTTCATTATTGGATACTGATGCACTAGCTTTGGCACTGTTCAGGATTTCCATAATTTTTGTGGCTATCACAGGGGGTGAGGTATTGGACAAGAAATTAGATGAAAGACTTATACCTCCCTAAAAAACAAGAATGCATCAGATTTGGATGAATGTTTGGAGAAAGTTTTGTTTTTCAATATTTCTTTAAATATTATTATTATTATTATTATTAAAAGGATTAATAATTTTAAAATTTCTTGAAATAAGACCCCGTTTCAATCTCATTGAATACTTAAGATATATATATTTTTCTAAAAAAAATAAAATTTTGAAGCTTAGAAGTATATTAAAAAAATACTTTTTTAAAAAAAGATAATTACTCCATTATACAGCTGAACAACCTTTGTCAGAGGGATTAGTTTGTTGTCATAAGTAATGAATAATAAAGTTACACAAAAATGGAACATTTTTTACTCTGTAAGAAAAACATGTCTGTTCATGTTAATAAAACATGCTAGTATGGTTTTGATGAAAGTAAGATTGCTCCAAACTCACTTGTGAGGCAATTCTTGGATCCCATAAATTGGAAGCATGACGCAGTAGTTCAAGTCCTTGAGTTGGGGATCCATTTTGATCTGTAATGGTAAAAAAATTTGCATCAGTTAGTACACAACTTATTCAAGTTTTGAAAAAGTTTTTGATACTAAGAATTATAGTAAAATATGATAATGATTACTACCTTGATATGAATTAGTTTGTGTAGGTGATTTCAAATCCACACGTGCTGGGGGCAGGGTACCTAAAGCAAAACATTATACACAAGCTATTAGAAAGAGGTAGAAGAAAACAGTGTTAAGTCTCAATACAACAAAAACAAAGTCAAAGTTTTAAACTGAACTGACAGATGTGAAAGCTACCTGGAACTGAGAGCACACTAGACAAGACAATGAACTTCTGAGTCGGCTTTCCCTTCACATCCAAAATGTGGCTGAAGGACAGCAGCAGTTGGTACAGGCTGGAGAAGCCATATAAAGCTGGGGTCAGCTCCACACCATACTGCCCTTTGTACATACTGGGGAGGTCACTCATGCTGATGCGCTGCTTGTGGAGCAATAGTAGGCGCAAATTGCGTCCCAACATTTGCTGAGTAGTCAGTCTAATAACTCCACCACTGTCCCCTTCCTCTTCGTCTATCTGATAACCAAATAAATACTAACTAAAGACAAGCACTATTTGTTCAATCATATTCATTAGAAATCATTAGACATGCAAAATTTATCACAATCAAAGCTTATTGGAAAAGAAACATTATTGTTGAAATAAATATGAAATGAGATGCTCATAAAATGTTTATTACAATGTGACATTTTTAAGTCTTTTTTTTTTCACACTAATTTGATTTTGTTTTCTTTCGTCTGATCACTGACCTGTATATAATCTGACAACTCTTCACGGATCTGGTCAACATCACATCTGACACCAAAGAGAGACTCGTATCTTAAAGTCAACTCCATCAAAGGCAGGCTACCACCAGACTCATCCATCAAGAGTTGCATGACCTGCAGTCCCAACTTTGGGATCTGAGATTCTTTGACCAGGGTAGCAACCTCCTGGCCATTTCTGACTTCAATCTGTGCTCCAAAACAAAAGCCAACAGTAGCAAACAACATAAGATCTAACAAGTTGTAATCATTTCATTCTTAAGCACAAGTTTGAACCATATTTAGTATTGCAGTAAGGAAGAAACAATTTATGAATTTCAAGAAAGACAATCACTAATCTAACAGCCAGGATAATTGTAAATCAGACTTGAATTACTCATTTTAATTTTCCATATAAAAAATCTTTGATACAATTAGATATTTTATAGGTTTCATCCAAAGGCTTTGTCTGCCTTGATCTGGCAAAATATGTGGGTCACAGATAGATTTGTATAGCCAGATGGAATACTGCAATCTTCCTTTATCTTTACTTTAAACTCAAAGACAAACTTAAAAGATGGGCTGAAGAGATCCTAACACTCAATTATATACACTTTAAGTGGGTCTACCAAAATCTTTCAATGACTTACGACTTTTAAACAGATAATTAAGAAACAACAGTCCATAGTTATGGTGCCCAGTAGATTTAGTTATTAAAATGTCTCTAAACCCCCCAACCCCCAAAAAATATAAATGTTTATCACCTTAATATGTGATTTCAATTTCTGCAGCAAGGCTTTGAGTGAGTTTACTTTGAAATCCTCCAGCTTCAGGTTAAAACCAAACTGATTTCCATATTCGCTGAATAACTTGTGCAGAGGAATAAAGCCATGGGGAGTGATCAAAGTTGTTAACTGATCACACAATACTTTGCGAAGTTCTGATAAACAAAGATGGATGAACTTTTCTTCACCATCTTCCTCAATCTGAAAATTTACCAATACTTAAGTGCATGACAAATAAATAAAAAAAAGTTCCCCTTTCAGACCTTGTGTATAGGGCAGATGATGTAAAGGTCATCTTTTTATGTGACCCACCGTTAACAAGGGTGTCATGTGGCCAGCACAACAACCAACCGCCTTTACTTTTCCCCAACTAATGTCACATAACCATTAGACAGATCTGCCTACCAAAAAAAGTCCAAATGCGTAACGCTGATAATCAAAATGCGTATTTTGGCACCAGAATGCGTAACACGCGATCCACTATTTCGTCATATATATATATATATATATATATATATAATATTAGATCTAGATATCATGATTAGATCTACATCTACAATCTAAATCTAGATCAATACGACAATAGAGATAATATCTAGCCTAGATCTGGATCTATGTCTATATAATAATTATAATTTACTCTAGATCTGGGCTCAAGAGTGTTACCGATGCCGTGGATCCGCTACAAACGTAGGTCTACTCCAAACTTTTGTAGGCCTACCTTCATCCTTGATCTATTCTATACTAAGACTAAGAATCTAGTCTAGAGTCTAGATCTAGACTAGATGGTAGTAGATGTTATCGATCTAGATCTAGTCAATCTAAATCATACTACAATAAATTGGATCTAGATTGTAGAGTAATGTAGAGAATCATGACATAACGTAATGACTAGTTAGATCTATTCCTGTATAACAAGTTATCTAGATTCTAGATATAGAGTCCAGATCTAGATCTAGACTAGATATCTACAATGTCACTCAATGTGTTTTGAATCGATATTAATTTCTATACAAATGAATACGGGAATTAGGGATTCAACATAATTAATTACTAATGAGCTTACAAAAAAAAAAAAGTCACGGTGTATCATCTAACTGACGGTACCAACCTGGTTCCAACCCGCCACTCCCTCACTCTCCGTTCTTCATGGCTTAGCGTGACCTCCGTGACAGCTCGTAAGCTAGTCAAGAGAGGGGGGGGGGGGGGAAAGGATACGAAATGCATTACGCGACGGGTTAAATGCATATTTGCGTACTGGCTGTCATTTTTGGGAGATTTTGCGTAACGAATATGCATTTTGCGTAATGGTAAGCAGGTCTGCATTAGAGCTGGGTAGACTCAGAGGCGCCCAAGATTCCAAAATTAAAAATCCCAGTCTTCACCAGGATTCA